TGTGCAATAATTAATTAAAATTTGAAATAAAGAAATAATTAATTAAATGTGTCAATAATTAAGTGTATCAATTAATTACGTCAATAATTAATTACATGTGTCATAAATATTTATGTAATTATTTCCGATTTTAATTAATTATTGCCACATTTAATTAATTATTTTATGGTGTATTTAATTAATTCATTATGGCAGTCCTGGTGTTCCATAACTAGATGTCACTGCTAATTCTGTTTAATATCATGTTTTGTAGAAGAATCCTTATTTATATTTGTATCTTATTCTACTAAGAGGCAAAGTGTTTTTCTTGAACAAATATTTTTTTCCTATAATAAAAATTAAAAATGATTTAAAAGTGACTAATTTAATAAACAAGTTGTTACACAAACAAGACTTTTCACTCACTTATTGAAACACCACGCAAATCAAGATGCATTTTGACAAAACGAACAGTTAAAAAAAAAAAAAAAATGTCCATGTGTTTTACAGGCCAAAGACAGAGGAGGCAGTGGGAGTGCAGCTGCTTGAAAAGTTGAACAATCTGGGAGATGAGGAGCTGAAATATTTCCAGTTTTACCTGCAGAATGACCCTGGAGATGACTTCCCCAAAGTCTTTAAGCGCCAACTGGAAAATGCAGACAGACTGAAAACAGTTACACTGATGCTGCAGACGTATGCGGGCAATGAGATGGAGGTGGCGAGCTCGATTTTAAAGAGGATGAATAAAGGTCAGACTACGCAGTATGCAGATACAACATTATCACAATTAATTTTGTGATATGCATTAAACTGAGGCTGTTTTACTCTAAATGAATATCAATGGTACTAAAAGTAGCTGTAGATAATATTACGTCTGTGGGATGATTATTGGTAATTTTTTCTCTAATGATTAAAACTTTATTTGTGAAGAAGTTCATGAAGTCATCACTAGTTAACGTTAAAGGGATGGTTGGCTCAAAAGAGCTCTGACTTTTGTCAGCCTGGCTACAGTGCTGAAGAGAAACCTGGGGTGGTTCTTATTTTCTTCAATCAGTGACGAATAGTAAGATGTTCTGGCTTTGCGGAGGGCTTTCTTATAAAGCAACAAACTATTTTTCCAGGCTGAATTATGATCTTCTAAATTTCTGACACGCTGTTTCATCTCTGGCTTATTTGATTTCATCCCGCTTTAAGGTGCAGATGAAATCTACTCTCCACTGCTGTTTAATCCGTTATTGTATTAGGCTTTGTTATAAGGAAATGATCAGACAGGAGTGTTTTCAGTAAACACTGTTAGATGTTCAGTTTCTATGCCATATGTTAAAGCTAAATCTGTGAGGGTTCTTTTACACATTGAGAGAAGCCAATTCAGTCTATTAACTAATTAAATTCTGTATATAAATTACCTTTTGCGATTAAAAAATATTTATAAGTATTTTCTATATCTGGAATTGTATGTTTCCAGCCTGTGTAACATGTCATTTTCATGGGAATTGAAGATGGTTCAATGAAAGGACCAATTTGATTTGTAGTCAAATTACTCAAATATCTGCTGAGATTTTAACAAAAGTTATGAAGATGGAAATGCATGATTATATAAATAATGGTTGACACTGTAAAAACCATAATAGACTAATCATCCTTCTTGCTGTTTTTAATTCAGAGGCTCTTCAAAAGTGTCATCGTCATCTTAAATTCAAGTCTAATCTGAAGAAGAAGTTCCAGCATGTGTTTGAGGGGATCGCTAAAGCAGGAA